ATCTCGTAACTCTCCCATATAGAAGCCGAAGTATTTATTTTTAAGTATTCTTAGCTTGTTTTATTATTATTGCGTTATGCGTTGTGTATATAAAATAAACAAAACGAGATCCATTGTTTTTAATCCATGTAATGTAAAATTATTACTTTTATTTTTGTATTCTATTGTAAAAGCAGCATTTAAAATTAACGTTTTACACGATTTTCCCGCAAGGGCAAAAATATATAGAGCTACTTCATTGTAAACACACACAACAAACACACACACACACACACACACACACACACACCGCACATGAGACCGAAAGTATTTTGCAAATGTATTACACTTACAATTTTGTGCTATTTTGTAAAGATAAAACCCCTTATTAGCGTAAATCTGTTGGCGAAAAGAGGATATATAACATATACCTATCTAAAGCTAAACCTAACATTTACCCGCATACTACGACTACAGTAAACGCCCGTACTAAATGTTAAACAAAAAAAAAACGCAAGAACGCAATTTGTGCAAGACACAAACAAAAACCCCTGGTAAAAACACGCGAAAAAGGACTGCATTACAAATGTGGCAATAACGATTATAAGCCCCCATGTAAAATAATAAAAGATAATCATTCGCTGGCTATTTGAGAGCATCAAAATTGTGATAAATGAGAATTAGAATGCGAATGCGCGACGCAGAGCCGCCAAACACCCAGACACCCCAGAAAGAGATCGCTATAGAGGTGGCGAAAGAGACAGACAGCCGCCAGAGAAAGAGACCGCTATAGAGGAGGTGAAAGAGACAGACAGACAGACAGCAGCCGGCGATTTGCGCACGTTTCTGGCGCGACTAAAAGCGTCTGCTTACCGTTTTTGTTTTGGTACGTTTTTATTTATTTTTATTTTTTCAATAATATTTGATTTTTGACTTTGTGCAATTTTTTGTTTGGCTTTCAGTCAATCACACAAGCCAAATATGCATAAATATTGTGTACCATTTTCTTATGTATACTTTTTGTACTTTATAAATAATTACGAATTTTTGACCAGTTTGCTTTTTCTTTTTTGAGCAAACTTGATTAAAAATAATTTTTGAAAATTATAGTCAACCAATTTTGGTACTATATTATTCAAACAAAAATTTGGATAAAACTAAGTTTAAGCATTTTGTATTTTCTTGTGCAATTTGTTGTATATGCAAAGAAATTTTTGACATTTTGGCTCCAGTTTTTGAGCAAACTTCATTGAAAAATGTAAATTAAAATCAGTCTTACTAATCCCCATTCGATCTATTCAAAACAGGCAAGAATGCTTTGGATCGCCCTTCTTCAACGCCTGCATAGAGGCTCTTCAGCTACACGAGGAAATGGACAAATACAACGAATGGCGCGATACCCTGGGACGAAAGTAAACTGCTATTTTCTGGGCTCTGGCAACCGTCACTGGCACGAGCAGCTACTTAATTCTATAAACTATAAACTATTAACTAAAATAAACTAAAGTACACTACGTAATATTGATAACTGTGGCAGAACACGGCACGAAACAATGGCAACCAGGAAACGATCGACCCGAGGAATGTGTACCACTTAAAGAAATAACTAAACTAACGACTAAGCTACAAGAGAAAGCAGATCAAAAATGTTGAAAAAAAAATAATGATGATGAAAACAATTACTAAGCTATTACACGTTACTTATCCGCACCGCATATCGGAAAGTGAAAATTGGTTTTTATTTATTTTGTATTATTCTCTGTCATGCACATCGATTTGTTAAACAGTCTCGTGGAGCTTTTAGTTTTAGTAACTACGAGAATTATGCTAATTTCTTTCAGTTCTTGGCACAAGAGCAAATTGAACAAAGAGAAAGCCAACAAACGATAAGAGAACAAACGAACGAACGAACAAGAATCAAAATGTCTGATGTAAATAAATTATTTTTGTTTTCTTTTAAAGATTTCTATACATACATATTTATAACGCCTAACTATTTTGTACATTTCTTTTATTTCGTAAGCTTAAGTTAACTTGTTACGGCAATAAATTTTACGTTCCACACCTCCCCACATTTGCACCCCCGGCAATAGAACCGAAAATACATCCGGGAAACCCCCACAAGGCATAATTCGATTCGATTCTATGTGTACTATTGCATATGCCCTACGATTACATAACTATTAATTAATTTAAACTTGTTTGGATCTAGTCGTAAAGTATAAATAAAGATTGTATATTTCAAGAGGAGACCGGCAGCGAATTTGATTGCGGTGCAAAACTTTATTCAACATACTATATAATCCAATATCAATAATTCACAAGTGCAAGTGCAAGTATTTCCGATTCGATAAGACAACGATAAGATCGTGGATCTTGTGGTGGAATCATTCCAGGACTCCTCATTCTCACTTGAGATGAATGAAATGCCAAGTGTCGACTGCAACAACAAAAAGGGACATGGTTTGTAAAGAGGTTTATTTCAAAATCACATTCAATATATATACATATGTACAACGATTAACAAACGCAAGCCAGCCAATTACAAGTATTTGGGTTATAGCAGTATTTACAGCGTGGGGTAATTTTCAGATTTTGGTTGGTAACTGGACATATTAAAGTAACTATTAGTAAGCATGCAGGCTGTGTTTGTGTAACCAATTTGTTTGCAAGTTTCTGGTTAAAGCAGGTGTTGGAGTAGCGTGGTTTTTGGTTGGGATCGGGTGAAGCGGCTATAAGCTCGATCTAACATAGTGAACCTTACCTGTATCGGACACCTCCTCCACCTGGCCGCCCTCGGGGGCCTCGGCCAGCAGCTTCTCGGCCTCCTCCTTGGCAATAACGTGCTCCGAATTGCGATTCGAGATGTTGGTACTGCAAAAAGGTTTTGTTAAGCTAGCTATTTTATGTGACTATCAAAGGACATGGCACCCACGTAGAGATTGAGCTGGAAATGCCGCTCTGGTGCACCAAGTTCTGCCAGAATTTGTGGGTCTCGGCAATGATGGTGGTGGCAAATTCGGCATTCTTGGCATCGCCATTGAAGGCAAACTGGTTCTCCGGCTTGCCATCGGGGATCTTGTAGATCTGGAGGGGATTATAAAAGAGTTAAAGGGAGGATGTCTTGGAAAGAGAATGTAAATGCCCACCTTGAACCACTCAACGGTGGCGCGCAAAAGGCCCGGGAAGTACTGGTCCACATCGGCAATATCGTTAACCTTGGAGGCCAGTGGATCATTGACATCGATGGCGATGACCTTCCAGTCGGTCTCGCCCTCGTCAATCAAGGCAATGGTGCCCAGCACCTTGACCTTCAGCACATCGCCGCGCTTGGCCACACGGTAGCCGATCTCGATGACATCGATGGGATCGTTGTCGCCCTTGCAGCCGGTGGAGGGCTCGATGTGGTCGGGGTTCTCCCAGGTCTGGGGCAGGGCTCCGTAGTTCCAGATGTACCCCTTGTGCGGGAAGCAGTTGGCCACGAACCGCAGCTTGCCCTTCTTGATGTCCTGCTTGATGGGATTCAGCGGGGTCTTGAGGCTAATCTAGGGGGTTGGTGAACATGCAATAGTTGAATTACCAAGTGCTATTGAACTTGAACTGGAGAAAGTTCGAACGTACCTCCATCTTGGCGTTGGTCCAACGTGGCACCTCCACAACCATGTTGTATATGGTCTTCTCCTCGTTGGCATACAATGGAATGTCGTGCATCGGCGAGATGACATTGCCGCACTTGTTTTCTGTGGAGAGTGGCCAGAAATTAGTAGTTACAATTGATATATAGATGACAGCTGGGGCACGCCATTTGATTGATAGTGCTATGGTCTAGACAAAGGTCACAAATTTCTTGATTGGTCTACTGAATTTTGGCCCCCCAATTACGATATCAGCTATATGGAAGCTATAATAAACAAAGATAAGGCGAAACTCTTGATATTTCCGCCAGTTCCGCCGCAAAGACAAATCATCGTCTGATAGTGCTGATAAAGCGACGAGTTAACTAAGCAGAGTCCGGTTTGACTTGTTGCATAATCAGCCCGGCTGTGATTAACTTAGTTCCCGTGTTGTGACTGCAAAGGGTTCGGGCAATATGCAAATGCATGGCTGGGAAGCCAGAGGGTTATGCCGGGTCACATTGGACCCACACACTTTTGGCCTACTCACTGAAATACAGGCTGTAGCTCGGCGAATTCTTGGCGCCCTTCTCAACGGTTTCGTACAGGGCCATTTTTAATGGTTTCGTTCGCTTTTGCTCAACCTGAATATGTCTGAAAGTGCCGGTAAAAGCCGCTGATGAGTTTGGAATCAAGCCGGAGGAACAAGCAACCGCACGTGAAAGGCAAGATCTTGAAATTTTTGCCAACATTGTAGAGGTGGAAAAACTTCGATAGAAACTCCGAAATCATCGATGATTTTATAATATCGCTGTTATCTATGTTTGTCCGCCATTATCGATGTTTTGCCATCTTCAACGACATGATCTTGCACACTGTTAGCTCTCAACTCCAGTTGTTGCACAATTTCTGTTAAAATTCTTTATATCTGCTGAAATTCACTCATTATTTAACATCACTCATGTAGGAACGTAAAAATTATTTATATATTTAAACATGTAATTGAATACCCTTATTAATATTTGAGACCCTTCGTTGCCGTCAGCCCTGACAGTGTTGCCAGATTAGGGGTTTTCCCCTTGATTTACGGGTTTTTTAACGGTCTAGACGAAATTTTAGGGGGAAAAGCTTAGTGTTTATTTTTTATAGAGTTTAACAATTTAATACTGTGTGTTTTATTTAAAAAAAGAACAACATACATAATATATACAGAAGACTAAAAAATATCAAACACCAACTTTAACTTTGTTTAAATGTTTAATATGTTTTCATATCTCTCTACAAAATAATTTTCAAGGAAGAAATTAAATTTTTAAAATTTTACTGTGTGATGAATTTATGTGGAAATCGGGATTCTGCTGGATTATTTAGGGCGAAAGCAGATTTTTCATCTGGCAACACTGCAACCTCTATTTCAGAGTTTTCCCTTCAAGTTTTTCGTTGTGTGTGCGTGTTGCCTCGTGTTTGCGTTGCAAATATTCCATTTATTTGATTGATTTCGCTGGCCAAGTGCAGCACCGTATTCTAAGGAGTACCTGTGATAAGAAAAGAACCCGGCTGATTAACCAGAGAGCAGGCCTTGCACTTTGATTCCCCAGTGCCCTTGGCAACAAGTAATTTCCCCCCTTCCATATTCGCTGCAAAAGCTCTCGAGAGAAATGCAGAACGGAAAACCGAGATCCGCGGCCAGGCCGTCCACCCACTACAACCGTCGCCCCAGATCCGGAGTGCCCAACACCGCCACGGAGAACGCTGCGTCAGCGGCTGCGGTCAAGCCGGAGGCCATGGACAACCAGGTGGGCATCGACGACAATGCCTGTGTGGTGTGTTTCAAGAATGTGGACATCTACTCGATTGGGGACTGCGATCACCCGGTGTGCTACGAGTGCTCCACCCGGATGCGTGTCCTCTGCCAGCAGAACGAATGTCCCATCTGTCGCCACGTCCTGTCCAAGGTAATAGCTCTATTTCTGTAAAGATGAGCCCTTGTAAACATATCTTGACTTTCTCAGGTTCTGTTTACGCTAGAGAAGCTACCCTATCGCGAACTGGAGGCCAACAATCGCTCCGACTTCTACAGCAAGAAGTACCGCATCGGTTTCTGCAGCGCCGAGATTCAGCAGCAGTTCTTCAAGCTGCTCGACCATCCCTGCCCCAAGTAAATGCTCCAAAGCAGAACTTTTGTTCGAGTAGTGTGATTCCCCCTTTTTTTTTTTCTTTGTGTTGAAACCCAGATGCGATGCCCCCCCGTACCGCACGTTCCAGGGCCTGCGCAACCATGTGCGCAGCGAGCACAGCCTGCTGTACTGCGACCTCTGCGTGGAGACCCTCAAGATCTTCACGTTCGAGCGCAGGTGCTACACGCAGGCGGAGCTGCAGCTGCACAACAGCAAGGGCGATCCGGACAATCGCTCGCATCGCGGCCATCCGCTGTGTGAGTACTGCAAGAAGCGCTACCTGGACCGCGACGAGTTGTTCCGGCATCTGCGGCGTGAGCACTACTTCTGCCACTTCTGTGATGCCGACGGCTGCAATGAGTTCTACAACGACTATGCCGATTTGGCAGATCATTTCCGGCAGGAGCACTTTCTCTGCGAGGAGGGCAAGTGCGCCACCGAGCAGTTCGTCGGTGCCTTTCGAAATGAGATCGAGTACAAGGCGCACGTGGCCAACATGCACGGCAAGTCGCTCAACAAGCAGCAGGCCAAGCAGACGCGCACCCTGCAGCTGGAAATCACCTTGGGACCGCGTGGACGCAGCGGTCAGACGGAGCAGGGCATAGCCAATATGAGAGCGAGGTGAGCGGGTTGTCATTCAAAGCAAAGAAAAGATCTTTCTAAGCTCTGTTATCCTTGTAGAAACGATGAGCACAACGACTACCTGGACGATCTGCCATCGAGTAGCCAGCGTCATGTGAGCATCGATGCTGGCAACGAGGACCAGTTTCCCACTTTGAGGGGAACCGCCGCAGCTCCCAGCGTTTCCCTCGTGAGGCCGCCGCCGCCCTCGATGCGCAATCTCAGCGGCACCTCGGGACTTGCTCGGACCAAAGAAAACTTTCCGGCGCTTGGAGGGGGAAATGGTGGTGGCGTGGCCGGTTCCAGCGGTTCCAGCAGCCTCGCCGCCAGAGCTGCCCAGTCCCAGTATCCGGTGGCGGCGGTCTTTAAGAAGCCAACCGGTGCGGCGGCATCTGCCGGCAATCGCAGTACACCGTCCGGCAATGGAATGCTCTTGCATGTCTCCAATCGGCCAGCAGCTGTGGCCAAAAAGGCTGGCGCACCGCAGCTAGACTTCCCCGCCTTACCGGGCAAGGGCAACAAGAAGAACTTGCGCAATCTGGAGGAGGACATGTTGCCCAGCGGCTCTGCGGTGCCCATGACGAATATATCCGCTAAGCATCGGTCGCTGGCCGACGACTATGTGTCGGTGGCCAACCCGACCAACTTCCATAAGCTGCAGATGGTACAAAAGGAGGAGGACGAGGCCAAGGCGCGACAGGAGGCCCTGAAGAAGAGTGCTCCCAAGCTCACCGCCTCGGAGTTCCCCAGCCTGGGCCCGAGTGCCAGTGCCAGTGCCAGTGCCAGTGCCAGCAGTTCCGGCAGGGGCAACGCTCCGAAGCCGACTAATGGATCTGGCTCCTTGAACTGGTCCAAGCCAACGTCCGAGAAGAAGCTGCGTGAGCTGGAGAATCGCAAGTCCAAGGTGGCACCGGCACCTGTTTTGCCCACAGCCACAGCAAAGCCGGCAGCCAAGGCCACTAATAACACTAATAACAATGTCCAGGAGCAACAGGGAAACAAAAAAGATAAGAAAGCAAAGGATAAAAAGGGCAATCTGGAGAATCAGCCCAAGGGGGGCAAGCAAAAGGAGAAGAACAATAACAACGAACAAAAGTCGGGAGCCAATGGAGCTCCACCCACACCAATACGTGCTCCACCCGGCCTGGGATCTGGAGGAGCGCTCAAACCACCGCCCGGTTTCGTGTCCAATGTGACTGTCAACTCGGTGGCCAAGCTGCCCAACAATCTCACCTTCACCAGTTCGATGGGCGAGTCCTATGACATTGTACCTAGCCACTATACGTACATCGATCCACCAGATACCAGCTCCAGGAATCAGGTAAGGGAATATCTTTTTCAAAATCACACACACACACAGTTTCATTGACATTAACATTATAAATTTCTTGTAGAAATTGGTGGACGAGGTCATGGGCTTAATCCGAACCCCGCAGGCATTAGAAGTATTTCGCATACTGTCGTCCAAGTTCCGCGATGGATCCTGCTCTGGTCAATCCTATTACATGCACTGCCAGGACGTCTTGTTCGATTCGTTTTACAATCTGTTCCCGGAGCTGCTGGCCATGCTGCCTGACATAAGCAAGCAACAGGTTGGAGTTGTTGTTCTTTGTTTACAAACAGACTCTTTAATCTTCATACATTTCAGGAACTTTATCTAGTGCACAAACAGCATCTGAACAGCTTGTCGCCCGCCAAGCGCAAATCCGTGCCGTCACTCGAAGTGTGCAAGGTCTGCAAACAGGTCCTCATCCCCGCCGACTTGCAGGAACACCAGCAGGCGCATGAGCTCACCAAGAACTTCCCCGTGCTGGGAAGCACAGCCTCCAATACGCACCGCAACTGAGACGTCGTGTGGATCGCAGGACAACAAAAGCTTTATCCCATGTATATTTTCTATGTATATACCGTTTCAATCAACCAGAAGCAGGAGCAGAAGTCCATGTCCCCAGGTCATGTAGTGAGTGGAAATCCGAATGTGAACTAGCCGAACAAGTAGAACTACAATATATCACCCCACAAAACGAGCCGCAACGAAGCAATCTGTTCTATGTGACTTAGTCCGGTGGTTCAGTAGCATAATGAGCAGCCTGTTGGTGTGGGATGCGTTTTTAATATTTACGAGTGAGCTTGTGTTTAGCAAATGCCCGAAACCTAATAAAGTTCAAATCAATCACATTTTAGTTTTGTTATAAACCTGGATGACAATGGTCCTAGTCTGTTTTAGTTGTTCTTATCAAAAGGCAACATATGGTGGCCGTGAATTGTTTATCACCAAATGGAAATTGCTTGTTTAGAGGAGAAAAGAGCTGATTTACAATCAGGCATATGGAACGGTTTGCAAACTCCTATCTAATCAACATTGTGGGCCAAACTGTGGAGGCTACTATGTGCTTTTACTACTTCTGGTTATTTCAGTGAATTGAGAAATATGATTTAATTTGGACTCTAAACGGAAGCTTTTGCGATTTTATGAAATTGTGAAATTTGCAAGGCACATGAAACTTAAGTTTTGAGAATACTTAGAGAAATAAACAAGCTTTTTGACTCTTATAAAATTGCATGATTGCATTAATCTGAGTTTCAAATCAAATTATAAAAATGTCATTTAACTACTTGTTTAACTTAGTCTGTAAAATAAAAAATTTATTACGAAAATAGAGCAATGGGGCAAGCAATGAATTTGAAAATTTAAATTCGCGCGCAAAGCTGTGGTATGTTTATTATGTATTTTTTTTTTCATTAATGAGTATATTTTATTGGATGCGCAACGGTCACACTGATCTTCGAAGCAACAAAAACAATGGACCGGCGCGAGGATGTTTTGCGACAGGTATGTTTTGTGGCCATATTTAAATGCAATTACTATGGGATTCCTCTTGGAAACGCGGCACGATAGGCCCTCGATAAGAACGCCAGCGAAACGGAGCGCTGGCAAGCGTTTAAAAGCGACAACGAGTCCACCATCCGGAACCTGGACCTGTTCGCCCGGAATCTCAGCGTGGAGGTTATGGTGCCCATCGGTGGGAAGGCCTTGATGCCCGGCGAGCTGATCCACACCAACGAGCTGCTGGTGGGTCACTACGAGGGCTACTTCTCCGCTTGCTCCGCCCACAAGGCCAAGGAGATCTGTCGCCACCGCCTGAAACTGGCCGAGGAGCAGCTGAAAAAGCTGGAAACCGAATCTGATCTCTGGACGTAAGTGGGATATTGTTGCAGAGACCGGCAGAACTAATTTTTATGCTTGACTTCCAGGAATAAACTTAACACTCCGCGGATGGAGGGTGCCATGCCCAATGGGGATCAGGTGGAAATCGTGGAAGATTTCAACGAGGAGTCGCACAACAAGTGGATGGCGGAGCACAGGGAGCGGGTGCGTCAGCAAAAGCAACAGGAGCGAGTCAAACGGCAGGCGGAACCGCCAGGAAGCGATGATGAAATGCTGAGAAAGCTGGAGGAGCGCGAAATGATGGAGGAACTAGGTCTAGATCCCGACGATGTCAACGAAGAGCAGCTGCAAGAGATGCTCAATGAGGAGCCATTAAATACCGAACCCCCTACCAAATCCCTAAGCCAAGAGCAGGAGTCAAAGCTCTGGCAGAAGTTGGAAGCTGAGGAGCAGCAAGAAGCTGCAGATCTCAGCCCGGAAGCAGAAGAAAGCCTGAAAAACACGGACATTTTAGTCCGACAACTAATGTCTGGGGATCGAGATACTCCCACTGCCAAAAAGCGGATAGGAGGCATAAAAAAGACTGTAGAAATCGAAGAAGCCATATCACTTGATGAGGATGATGACGATGGGGACCAAGAGGAGGAGGTGCAAACCATACGAGAGCAGATGTCTCTGCTGCCCAACGAAGAACGCGAGCCCTTCCTCAGAGCTCAACTGCAGGTGCTGAAGGCCAAAATGCGAAAGATACAAAAGGTGAACTTCATAAGCGACGAGCTGATTCACCTGATGAACGTGGTGGTCATGCTGGAGGACGATCTGCAGGACATTATTTTCGAGCAGGAGATGGAGGCCAGCAACGATGGGGATGACGAGGAGAAAAACACCGAAGAGGAACCCATTGAAGAACCTGAAGTTGTACCTGAAGCCAGCACAAACAAACGTCGCATTTCGTTTGCTCTTGCCGATGAAAAGCTAGAGTTTAGACGGGAAGAAACTGTGGCCGAAATGCTGCCCAATGCGAAAAAGCAGAACTCCAGGGATATAATAAAGCTGGACGATAGTATGACCCCTACAAATGATATGCTCAATCGAATTCAGGAAACCAAACACATTAGTTTTAAGCACTCCGATGCTGTGCCTTCTTCCAAAAGTGATCGAAATGATGCCATACCAGCAGCCAATAAAAAAGAGCCTAAAACCAACTCGGATATCTTGCAGAAAGTTGAAAGAAACATCGAGTTTGTCAAGGAGAATCAGAGCGTGCAGGACTTTGACTTGCTCAATCGAATTCTGGAAGAGTCCACGGGACGTATTAACACTCTACACATTAGTTTCACACATTCCGATGCTGTGCCTTCTCCCAAAAGAGATCATGACGATGACATACCCGGAAGCCCAGCGGATTTCTATGCGAAATACGAGAGGGATGTGGCAAAGCCGAATCAGTCGTTTCCCATATACGTAAATGGCTTCGAAGGCGAGGAGGAGGTTAAAGTGCCCATCATGAGCGAAGCTGCGCGTGGATCAGCCTATGAAGATCCCAGAAGTCAGGTAAGATCATCGAAATGAGTTGGGAATATGAATTAATCGTTTACCCTTGCAGTTTTCCAAGCCATGCGGTTCTGAGGGAGAAGCAGCCACCAAGTCGATACTCCGGAACAAGGAGGCTGTGGCGTTGGAACCGCACGTCGTCAGCCAGCAGCCCAAGAAGGGTAAAAAGGGACGGAAGCAGAGGAAGAAAGAGCGCACACTGGAGGATGAGCTGCGCGACATGAGTGCCTACCAGAAGGTGATGCACGATCTCGTGGAGAAGGAGGAGCCCACGGCACCGGAGCCGCTGCCACAGGGCAAGTTCATCGACTCGCATGCGCCCAAGAAGCGGGTCAGCCGCTTCAAGGAGCAGCGCGCACTCAACAAAACGTAGCGAAGATTAAAACTTCAGCTGGGAATTACTCGTATATTTGTTCAAGTTTAATGTGAATTTGTATTACAAACACAACGCAAACAATAAACAACTACTGGTGTGGTGTACAATTGGTTTTGTTTTCTTTTTGTTTTTGTTTTTGTTTTCGTTTTTTTTCTGTTAAATTAAACACTAGATACTAGTCCGCGGAAACGGAATTTATTTTTAAAACATTTACATTAGGCTTCAATTTACATTAGATCAGAATGAGAGTTTTTGATTCAAAAATTCACCGCGATTGGAGGAGCCGCGTTGCCGGCCCATGTGCGATCTCTTACAGGCTACTTTAAAAGTACATATTAACAGCTAATACATACAGTACGGATCCTAAGCATAAGCGTACCCGGTTGCTCCACTCTCCACTGTCCACTCCTTGCTCTACAGTGAAACTAAAATGTCTTGGGTGGCCGTACAGCGGGTCCTCCAATGCGGGATGTTTGCAGAATTTCAAAATGTCAAAGTCAATGTGGGGTAGCTAATCCTCCAGGCCGAGGAACTCCCGCTCCAAGGCGGCGCCCATCATGTTCCACTCGCCGTCGTCCTCGTCCTCCGGGTCCTTCTCGCTGTTCGAGTCGGAACCAATCTCCAAATCGGAAGGCAGCTCTTCTCCTATAGGATTAAACTTATTAATATGTAAGAATTGCCAAAAGTTTAAGGATCTACCTCGTCGAAACTTGGCGCTGGGCATCTCGTCGTCGTCATCCGCCTCCGCATCCTCGTCCTTGTCATCGCCCTCCTCGTTTGAGCTTATGTCGTACTCCAAGACGTTCGGCGCTCCGATCATCACATCCTCGCTGCGTGTGAAGAAGTCATGGGCTCGATTGGAGTTGTCATCCTCACGTTTTCGCTTTAGCAGCTTCTTGTCCATGGGTGGATTTTCTTAAATAAGTAAAATATAAGAGTTTTAAATTAAATATATCAGTATACTTAAGAGTGGGTATTCAAGGTAAGGTTGGGTAAGATTGCAGGTAGTTGAATGGGTAAAATCCTCACCAAAGTTCACTGGTCCCTCGTCGCTGGACGAGTCGGACTCGAAGAATGTCTCGTAGTCCTTGTTCATCGACTCGATGTCCGCGTTGGTGAAGACCAGCAGAGGATTGAGGGTTTCGCGGAAGTTGCCGCTCTGCTCCTCCTGCTGCTTGCTGCTCGACGGCGAGATCTCCGAGCGCTCGCTGTAGTTGACCACGTGCTCGGGACTGTGACAATGGGCGGGTGGCTGGCGGCCCTTGTTGCGCACCTTGCGATCCAGCGGGAAGAGCTTCTCCTCCACGTGCTCCCAGCGCTCGGCGCAGGTCCACAGCCAGTTCGCATTCACCACCTTGATGGCGGCCTCCTTCTTGGCGGCGTTCACCTTGTAGGTGCCGGCATTGACCGCCACCAAATGGGTGATCTCCTTGCCAATGTTCGGCTGCACATCGGCGCCCAGACTCTTGGCAATGAAGTACGCCCGCGACTGCTCCAGCTTCATTTGCGTGGGCACCAGGCCGGAGAACACCAGGTTCTTGCCGCGCAGCACTTCGCACCGAATCTTGGGCACGATGATCTTGAGGTCGGGTATCTCCATGGTCTCGTCGTAGATGGCATAGAATCGCTTGTGAATGTTGCGCAGAATGACCTCCAGATACAGCAGATAGTCGTCGGGGTCCTCGATCTCGATCTGCTTCTGTCCGTCGAGTGGAACCCGAATGCTGGGAGTACTCTTCGAAGTGGTGGCCACATCCTCGTCGGTCTTCGGGCTCTTCTCGTCCGCTGAGCTGGTGGATGACGCCTCCACCTCGTTCCCTTCAGATGGTGTGGCTTCCACCTCGGCTTTTGTGCTTTCCTTGGAATTCTCATCAATAACAACTACGTCCTCGCCATCGCTGGCCGCCTTTTCAGCATCCGGTGAGCCTGATGAGCTGTCGTCTATAACCATGATTTCCTCGGCGACAGTTTTGCCGTTTAACCTATCACTCGACTCTTTGGGCGCCTCTGTGGCACTGGAGGAGTTGGAAACCTCTGGGTCCTTGGCGTCGCCCTCCAGTTCGAAGACGTCCACCGATT